AAACTCAACTGAGAGTCAGCTGGCAGGGAGCCTGCTAGTGACAAAGTGAGCCTCCCCAAACATAAAGCAGATGGAGAAGACTGAAGAGTCGATTTTGTTCTTTGCTTAGGATTTTGATTCTTTGTAAAACATATTTTAAATCAAATTAATACTTAATCAAATCTTTCAGGGTTCTAATTCTATGGTTTGTTTTGTCTACCAACTCTGAGGCTGGAGATAAAGAAGAATATGGAAACAACTGGTAGAGACAGTTCCGTAAGGAGATTAGACAGAATGGGATCCAGAGTTCAGGAAGACAAATGAGCCTCATTCTAAGAGGAGAAACTCTGTAATGGACCACATGAGCCATAGCCTCCACTACCCTGAGACCAGAAGAACTAGATGGTGCCTGATTGCCACTACTGCTCTGATTAGAACCACTGTAGAAGGTCCTGGACAGAGTAGTAGGGATGGGGGGAAATGTAGAACAAAATACAAAATCATAAAAAAAAAAAAAAAAGACCGAACTTATTGGTCCAAGGAGCCCTAGTGGTGCAGTAGTTAAAGCATTTGGCTGCTAACCAGAAGATCGCTGATTTAAACCCACCAGCCACTCCACAGGAGAAAAATGAGGCAGTCTAGTCTATTTTCCTAAGGGAGCTCTGCTGGTGTAGTGCCTAAGGTGCTTGACTGCTAACCAGAAGGCTGGCGGTTCAAACCCACCAGCCACTCCTCGGAAGGAAGATGCGGCACTCTACTTCCATAGTGATACCGCCTCAGAAACCCAAGGAGGGGTCGCTATGAGTCAGGCCCAACTTGACACATAACAACAACAACTTCCCTAAAGATTTACAGCCTTGGAAACCCTAGTTGGCAGTTTTACTCCGTCCTATAGTGTTGCTATGAGTTGGAATCAACTCCATGGCAGTGGGTTTTGTTTTGTTTTTATTGGTCTGATAGAGACTGGTGAAACCTCCAAGACTGTGGACCTTAGACATGTTTCAAGCCTGGAACTGAGAGATCAAAGGAGTAGACGTTGTAATCAGAAAAGTACATAATGTTATTGTAAGAGTTCAGAGCTAAGTCAGTGCAAGCAAACCTGAAAATCTGGCCATGGGGTGAACATAAGTGGAGTGAAGCTGAAGGCCAGTGATGTTGAGCTGCTCAGCTAAAGGTTTGGGCACTGGATGAGGGGTTCACATGCACAATTAAGTCACAAGATGATGGAGGAAATTAGGGTGAATAGGGACAAGTTTTAAATAAAAGATGGGAGCAATCAAGTAGACAGTGGATGGCACTGATGAGGCAGAGGAGAGGCTGATACAGTTGGATAGCTGGAGACTCAAAGCACAGTGTGGAATAATAGTGTCACCATGACCCCATTATGCTTCAGATACCACAATAGTAAAAAGATTCTTTTCTTTTGCCTCAATTTCAGATCTCTAAACTACTCCTTCCTGCCAATTCTAGAAGTTTCAGGAATCTCAGGGCCTGAACATGGGTAGCCAGAACGCTGGGAATCAAGTCAAAATAAAATAACACTGAAAGTGAAAGTCGTACTAATATCAGGAAGTTAGAGTTATTATGACTTTACAGAACAGCTTTTTTCTTTGGGAAACTTGCACGTACGAAGCATCTGCCTGCTGCTATTTCCCTCTATTTAACCATAAAATGTGTAATGTGTATATTCATAGAGGTTTTCAAGTATCAGAGTTTTGAAAGTCAGCTCACTCTCTTGGCTGGGACTGACCAATGAGCATCAGGCAAGAAAACATCATCAACCACCATCATCTACTCACTCAAGGTCAGGTGTCCTGGTGTGGCTCCAAATAGCCCAGCTTCTAGGAAGAAGAAACACAGGACTACAGCTGCCACCAATGAGCAGAATTTTCCAGGGCACAGTGACCCTCACTCACTCCCAGAAGCTGCACATTCTTGAGAAGGAGAGGATTCACTGGGGAACTGCACAGCCCAGGTTCCCACCCTCACCAAGCCCTCTACACAGCCGAGCACCATTGAGTTTCCCTTTCTGCTTGGTTGCCAATATGCTTGGAGTTAAATTTAACATTGAGTCACATTCTTCTGGGCTCTTTTTATGTTTATTTTTTCTTTCTTTTAGTAGTTTTCTCATTCTATGTTTCTATTTTAATAGTAAACATTCTTTATTGGATGATATCTCAAGTACATTTTTGGCATTAACAAGTCATTTTAACAAGAGATATAAATGCTTAGCCAAAATGTAAGACTGGTCCCTAAATTAGGTCAATCACAGGTGGAGGGTGTGGATATGAGAGCAGTTCAAACAAATCCTTCAGTTTTTTCAAGTTCTTTTTCTCAATTCATCATTCTTCCAAGCCACCCTCTCTCCTCCCACCATCTCAAATGTGACTTGTTCTTTCAGTTTCCTTTTTCTCTGACATCAAATCTAACGCCATCTCCAGGCTCATTTTGAGTTTAAACTTGTTTTAGTCACATTCCCTCAAGCCCAGACTTGATGGCGCCTCAATTTTCTTACCACTGTATTTCCTACTCTGAGTTCTCCTTTTTAGAGCAGGGTCAGCTCACTAAAGGGACTCGACACCACACCGGGAACTTCTGCTGCTTGAAAAACTCCTTGCTTCCTTCAACACCAATGCCCATCGCGGCCCTATGCTCCTTGGCACCAAGCTCCCGCCTCTGCCTGTTCCTCCCACAACTACCATCACTCACTCTGTGGGTTCCACTTTCTCAAACTCTCTCTTGGGACCCTATCACACATCCAATGCACACATGGTCTCCCAAAAGTGACAATAAAAACCCAAAGACACACCATTAGCTTTGGTTCTTATTGCAGGTTCTTAATCCCCATGTTAATTCACAAAGTGGATTTCTGCTAGTGCTGATCAAACTCTGCTCACACTTCATGAAGCACAGAGCATTTGAGGGCAAGGACCTGTTGTTTGGGTGGTTTCATATATATATATAATTTTATTGTCGTAAAATATATATAACAAAAAAAATTTGTCATTTTAAGCAATTCTGTGACATCAATTACTTTCACCATCTTGTGCAACCATCACCACAATTCCCAAAAGTTTTCCATCATCCCAAACAGAAATTCAGTGCCCCTTCAGCCATAACTTCCCACTCCACTCTGCCCCCAGCCCCTGAAGACCAGCTATGCTGTAACATGTTTCTCCTCTGCTAGCTGTTACTTGTTCAGGTTGTTACATGTCAGAAGCCAGAAGGGTCTCAGACTGTCTCAGTGCCTTACTATCACTCCCTTAACGTCTCTAGAGAAGCTCTGGACATGCCTAAGGCACTTGACTGCTAACCAGAAGGCTGGCGGTTCAAACCCACCAGCCACTCCTCGGAAGGAAGATGGAGCAATCTACTTCCATAGTGATACTGCCTCGGAAACCCAAGGAAGGGTCGTTACGAGTCAGTCCGATTCGAGGGCACATAACAACAACAACAGCAAAGTCTCTAAGGAAGTGCCAAAATAGATAACTAAACAAATAAACAAAAATAACTCACTGCCATGGAGTCAATTCTGACTCATAGCAACCCCCACTGGGTTTCCAAGGCTGTAAATGTTTACAGAAGCAAACTGCCCCATCTTTCTTCTGTGAAGCAGTTGGTGGGTTTGAACTACTGACTTTTTGATTAGCAGCCCAATGCTTTAACCACTACGCCACCAGAACCCTCTAGGGAAGTCTCTAGGTTGTACAAATGGTTAACCCACTTGGCTGCTAACTGAAAGTTTGAAGGTTGGAGTTAGCCCAAAGGTGCCTTAGTGACCTACTTCTGAAATATCAGCCATTGAAAACCCTATGGAGGACAGTTCTACTCTGACATAGGGTCGCCATGAGTCAAAATCAACTCCACGGCAACTGTGGTGGTTGTTGTTGTTTTTTCTAATGTCTCTGAGTGAAGCAGCCAGTCAGCTCCCTTATCTGGGGTAACCAGGAGGACAGCTGTCTAAAGGCCATGGAGAAATCAAAGGTGGGGTGCAAGGGATGGGGGAGGAGAAAGAACTTCCTGTTTTCTTTCAGTGACTTAAGAAATAAATACTGAAAGTCTAGAGGAGCTTTTGAGTCTCTTTATTTTGGTTGGGCTCTAAGAACTGCTGCCTGGTGGGTTAGCTCTATTGGGAAATTAGCTAAGCAACGTTTTCTCTTGCCCCGAGGGTCAGGACCAGGCTAGTCTGTACAGATAGAAACCAGACTTTTCAACTGTCAAGAGGCGATTCCCACAGGTCCGTGGATGGTAGATCTGGAGACAGTGCCCTTCTCCCCAGGAGCTCAGTCGAGTGGTAAGTCATCTATGTATATAATCCATTAGGTCCATGCTGATATATAGCTTGGTTTCACTTTTGCAAACATTTGTTTATATCCTTCGAGACAAGGACATCTCAGCCTGTCACAGGAAACAGCTCCCTGGGGTAAGCATGCATTTTAAACATGTATAAATTATGACCTACACCAATTTCTTCAAATTAAACCATGGTATTTTGTTCTCTTTTTCTGTAAGCATTTCTGTAAGCAAATTATATATTTTCTTACAGGTTGTCTTCAAGTGGACAAGCTATGTTTCTACCAAAAAACTTCAAATTCTAGGAAGACGGTGTAATGCTTACTTTTCTTTCTCCCGTGGTACCTAACACACTACTAAACACATTAAGCGTTTAATGACTACATCAGTTATATTAGCTGCTCTTGGAAAGTAGGGATGGGTTAAAGAATTGTTTATTTTTAATCTTCTGATTTGTAAATCAACTCCAACTGAAATTAAGCATCAGGGAAGGGGAAAGATAGCTGTTGGGGGTACTAGGCACTCAGCAGCTCCTCAGGAGAAAATACAGCCTGGAAAACCCCACGGGGAAGTTCAACTCTGTGACATGGAGTTGCTATAAGTCAGAATCAACTCAATAGCACCTAACAACAAAAAGGATACTAGTCCTGTTTTTTTGTCTCCTCCAGGGCAACACAGCTGTACAGAGGGAAAACTGACCTCTCATTTATCCACAGAACAGTCTGAGGATGGATAATTACACGTTGGCTCCTGATAATGAGTATGATGTTCTCATTGAAGGTGATCTGACAATCAATGACATAGAACAATGTGACAAATATGATGCCAACGTTCTCCCAGCTCAGCTGGTACCGAAGCTATATTCCCCCGTGTTCGTGATCTGTCTTCTGTACAATCTCTTGGTTATGCTTATCCTGATAAAATACAAAGGACTTCGGCACATGGAGAATATCTATTTCCTAAACTTGGCCGTTTCCAATTTGTTATTCTCACTTACCCTGCCGTTCTGGGCTTACACTGCCTCACATGGGGGGATTCTCGGAGATCCCATATGTAAAATTCTCATTGGCATCTATTTCATAGGTTTGTACAGTGAGGCTTGTTTCAACATGCTTCTCACAGTGCACAGGTACCTGGTGTTTTTTCATGTGCAAAGCATTTCCTTGGCAGCCAAGACAGTGCCCTGTGGCATCTTTACCAGTGCCTTTGTGTGGATGGTGGCCGTTCTGGTGACTTTGCCTGAGTGCATAGTTTACAGACCTCAGTTGGGAAGACAGGAAGACAAGTGCTCACCTAGCAAATCTCGTTTTCTGCCAGCTGATGAGACATCCTGGAAGCATTTTCTAACCTTAAAGATGAACATTTTAGGACTTCTGTTGCCACTGTTTGTTTTTATATTTTGCTACGTGCGAATGAGGAGAACACTAAGGTTGAAGGAGATACGGTATGACCTTTTCAAGCTTGTTTTTGCCGTCATGGTGGCTTTCCTTCTGATGTGGGCACCCTATAATATTGCACTTTTCCTGTCTACTTTCAAAGAATATTTCTCCCTGAATGACTGCAAGAGTAACTATGGCCTGGACAGGGGTGTTCAGATAACGGAAATCATAGCCACCACCCACTGCTGCGTCAACCCTCTCCTCCACATGTTTGTTGACCAGGCCTTTAGGAGACACCTGTGCCACTTGCTCCCCTTGAAAAATAACACTCCACTGCAACCCAGAGAGGAATCTGGACAAGATGCATTATGGGAGCAACACAGGCATTCCACCAGAGTATGAACTACCTTCTATCCAAGGCAGGATAAATAAACATTGACTTTTGTTCCATTGCCTTATTTCTTGTATTTGTATTTTTGTTGTTGTTTTTGTACACGTTTGTATATAAAATAAGATACAAGGGAGAAAGGGAGTATGGACAAACATTTACCAAGCACTGAATTTGTCTCAAGCACCTTGCTCAGCTCTTTGGAAATGTGAGCTCCTTCATGCCTCACAACTTCCCTTGGTATAGATGGAATTATTCTCACTTCTCTGATGAGAAAACTGAAGCTCGGACATTTGTCTAAGATCACACAGCTAGCAATGTCAGCACTGGGCCACAAAGCCAGCTGTCATCGGCTCGAGCACCCCTGTCTACCAAAAACTGGACAAGAAAACATGTGAAATAAATACAGTTTAACATCCAGTTTGACCATATTCCAAATTAGAACCTACCTATTCATGCAGAACTATAATTTCTTCTGTGGAAATACAAATCAACATATAGTTCCTGATTTTTGTGAGATTTTACAATCATTCTGTTTCCTTTTAGTTCTACAAATAGTGGTTTTCATCCAAAAGTCATGAGGTGGTTCATTTTTTTTGTTTGTTTGTTTGTTTTTTGTTTTTACTGTGGTTTGGGTGACAGTTTATAGAGCAAATTAGGTTTTCATTCAACAATTTATACACTTTTTGTTTCCTAAAATTACTTGCAATCCCTTCAATGTTAACAGCACTCTTATCACTTTGTCTCTAGGTTCCTAGTTTTCATTTGTCCTTCTTTCTTGCCCCTTCCTGTCTCTGAACTTTGTTTTGGAGCAAATGCTACCCTTTTGACCTCATATAGTTGGTTATTCTGAGGAGCACATTCCTCACCTACAAGGTATTATTGTTCCCCTTATAGCCTTCCTGTTGTTTGGCTGAAGGTGATATCATGTGTGGGTTTATTTCCAGATTTGAAGGGTGTCAAAGGGCCACATTGTCAGGAGTTCCATCAGTCTCTATCAGAACAGTAAGTCTGTTCTTTTTTATGATTTTGCATTTTGTTCTACATTTTTCTCCCACTCTATCCAGGATCTCCAAACAGATCCCTTTCTGAATGGTTGACAGTGGTAGCCTGGCACCATCTAGTTCTTCTAGTCTCACGGTCCAGGAGGCTGTGGTTCGCATGGTCCATTAGTCCTTTGGACTAATCATTTCCTTGAATCTTTTATTTTCTTCACTCTTCTTTCCTCCAGATAAGGTGAGACCAATAGTTGTATCTTAGATGGCCACTTGCTAATTTTTAAGACCCTAGTCACTCCTCGGAAGGAAGGTTGGGCAATCCTACTTCTGTAGTGATACTGCCTCGGAAACCCAAGGAGGGGTCGCTATGAGTCGGGTTTGACTCGACGGCAAACAACAACAACAACAACAACAGTCACTATTCACTACGGTACGATGTAGAACATTGTTTTTGAACTATGTTATACCAATTGCCTTGGCTGTCCCCCAAGAGTGTGGTCCTAAGCCTCCAATCCCAGGGATGCATTCCCACAAGGTGTTTGGTGATGGCTCAGAAGTGCTCATATCTCTGCTCCCTCCTTGATCTACTGTTTACAGCACATAATGTGTAGAAATATCCTCTGCCAAACTTGTATATGGTTGTGGGTATAGTACCATTTGTCTGCTCATACCTGTCGCTATGAGTCAGGGCCAACTTGATGGCACATAACAACAACAACAACGCCTGTTCAGCTTGCATGTCTGCCTATATATCCACTCATAGATTATTGTCTGTTCTCACTGATATTGCAAGACTATGTATGTAGTAATATTTACCTTTGTTGTCTGTAACTCTTGTGCACCTCTCAGTGTCTTCCTCTGCCTTAGTCATATTGTGCTGATCATGCCTTTATTGTATGTTGCCTTTCCCTTCACCCAAATTAATACATGTCTATTATCTAGTTAGTGATTTTCCTTCCCCTCCCATCACATCCCTGGTAACCATCAAAAGAATGTTTCTTTCTGTGTGTAAACCCTTCCTTGACTTTTTATAAAAGTGGTCTGATAAAATATTTGTACTTTTCTGATTAACTTATTTCACTCAGCATAAATATCCTCCAAAAGCATTCATGTTCTGAGACATTTCACTGATGGGTCATTATTCTTTAACATTGCATGCTATGCCATTGTATGTATATACTATAGTTTGCTTATCCATCCATTTGTTGATGGGCACTTATGTTGTTTCCATCTCTTTGCTATTGTGAATACTGCTGCAATGAGCATGGGTGTGAGTATATCTATTCAAGTTCCAGCTTTTATTTCTCTAGGAAATATACCTACTAGTAGGTTTGCTGAATCAAATGATATTTCTATTCCCAACTTTTTAAGAAAGAACTATGCCATTTTCCACAATGGTTGTACCCACCAGCAGTGTATGAGAGTTCCAATCTCTCCACTCCTTCACCAGCATTTATTGTTTTCCGTCTTATTAAACTTTATTTGCATATCTCTACTGGCTAATTATTATGAGCACATTCTTCATTGTTTATTGGCCTTCAGAATGTCTTCTTTGGTGAAGTCTCTGTTCATATCTTCAGCCAATTTTTTAATTGGATTCTTTGTCTTTTAGTTGTTAGGGTATTGAAGTTTCCTATAAATTTTAAAGATTAGTGCCTTCTCAGATATGTCATTGCCAAATATTTTCTTCCAGTCTACAGGTTCCCTTTTTACTCTTTTGAAGAAGTCTTCTGTTGTGCATAAGCATTTAATTTTTAGGAGGTCTTGGTCATCTAATTTATGTTCTGCTATTTGTGCATTTCTGGTTATGTTTGATAATCTATTTATGCTGTAAATTAGAGCCACTAAGTTTGCCTTTATTTTATTTATTTATTTATTTAGACCATCTCTATACTTTTAGGTTTTATGTTTTAGGTCTTTGATCCATCTTGAGTTAGTTTTTATATATGGTGTGAAGTATGGATCTTGTTTCATTTTACTACAACTGGATATCCAGTTTTGCCAGTACCCTTGTTAAAGATACTTTTCCCCATTTAATGAATTTTGGCCCTTTGTCAAAGATCAGCTGTCCATAGGTGGATGGATTTACTTCTGGGTTCTTAGTTCTATTCCATTGGTCTATATCGGTCACTATACCAGAACCAAACTGTTTTGACTACCATGGCTGTATAGTAGATTTTGAGATCAGGAAGTATGAGGCTTCCTATTTTGTTCTTATTCTTCAGTAGGGCTTTGCTTATCCTAGATCTCTTTCTTTTCCTTATAAAATTGGTGATTGATTTATCCATCTCTTTAAAGAATGTTGATTGAATCTGAGTTCAGATTGCATTATATCTATAGATTGCTTTGGGTAGTATTGACATTTCACAATGTTAAATCTTCCTACCCATGAACATTTTATATTCTTCCATATATATAAGTCTCTTCTGGTTTCTTTCAGTAGTGTTTTATACTTCCCTTTGTACATGACTTTTGGTCTCTGGTTAGGTTTATTCTTAAGTATTTCATCTTTTGGGTGGCTATTGTAAAAGGTATCATTTTCTTGATTTCCTTTTCACAGTTCTCTTTCTTAGTATAGAAGAATTTGACCGATTTTTCTATGTTAATCTTGTACCCTACCACTTTGCTAAATTCTTCTGTTAGTTCCAGTAGCTTTCTTGTTGGTTCTCTGGGATTTTCTATGTATTGGATCATATCATCTGCAAACAGAAATAATTTTACTTCTTTCTTACCAATTTGGATGCGTTTTATTTCCTTTTATTCCCTTATTGCTCTGGCTAGGACTTCTAATACAATATTGAATACAAATTGTGACAGAGGACATCCTGGTCTGGTTCCATTCACAGGGAGAACACTTTCAATCTTTCTCTGTTGAGAATAATGTTGCCTATTGTTTTTGTGTATATGCTTTTAATTATGTAGAATTTCCCTTCTATTCTTTTTTTTAAATTTTTATTGTGATTTGGGTGAAAATTTATAGAGCAAATACACTTTCCATACAGCAGATCACATACACTTTGTCTCATGACATTGACCACAATTTAGCACAATGCAACATCTCCTCTCCCACTTCCTCCCGATATGTACCACTTCCCTGTGACCATCCCTCCATGCACTCCTACCCCCTGAGCTGTGTCCCTGTGCCTGCGCAGCCCTTCTTTCTCTCTTGCTTGTTCTTTCCAAGGAGTGTATCTACCTCAGGTAAATGCTCAACTAGTATGCCTGTCTACTGCTTGGCTGGAAGCTACAGGTGTG